AGATTACGAACGCAAGATAGAAATGTATAGAAAGGAAAACACTAACTGCAAAGAAACCGATTCGGACCCGCTATATGATATATGATGGTACTTATTGTTCCTATGTTGTTTTTAAGTTATGTGGTTATTTTTGTAATGTGTTTATGTGTTTTGTTGATGTGCTTATGTGTATAAAATAAAATAAATATATATATATAAAAAGCACTGCTTCAATATCCATTGAACAATATTTTTTTTTACTTTGCCCAAGTTCTGGATCTGATCTCGTTTCCTAGGCATCGTGGTCTTGACCCACATGACTCTTGACACTTCACCCCATCCCAATTCTGACTCACCATAAAAAATTATCCACCCCATTTTAGAGCTGTAGTTTGGTTCATTGTTTTGCTATTTTAATCTCCTCTGGCAGACGATGGCATCTATTCCACAGTCATTGCCAGCAAGATAGGGCTTTCCACACAATCCGTGGAATTCCCTCCGAAAGGAGGCTCATGCAAATATTACTGTTTTAGAAGCTAGGCGAATGCCTTGTTGTTTTTTTTCTGGATTTTTAACAAGTTTGCTTTTCTTTTTTTTATTTTAAGCTTTATGTCTTACTTGTTTGGAGTGAGAAGTATCTCTGAAGGTTCTGCTATCTTCCGTAGCTTTAGTCCTGCAGCAATATTAAGATAACTACAGCCACCTGTGTCCCCTTCCTCGCGAGCGTAATGCAAAGCTGCTTTGGATAGCAACAGGCTCCCTTCTCCCTGCTCTTCAATCATGATAACTTTCTACAAACCTTCCCTCCAGGTCTGGTTAGTTGCAAAGATAAGTTCTGGAGGCTCAGCCATCTCCACCAGTTGTTGGGTCATCAGTTACAGCCCCCGATTTGAATCGGTCACTAACATGCTACGAGTTAACGGAGCCATCCTTTCACTGAATTCTTACTTTTCTGTACTGCCTGGAAAATGTTTGGCGGTTTAATAACTACAGTGCTAGGACTCAGGAAGGAGGTGTGTCTCCTGACACAATCTCTTCATTTGCCTGGGGCCATGGCATGCAAATCTTTCCCAGGGAAGAGCATCTCCAAGGACCAGAAGAGATATAAAACACCTCCTGTCTGCTTCCCACCCAATTTGTACATCCTCCTCTGTGATGCTTCTCAACCCCTTAGTTCTGGATTCACACCAGAGGTGGGTTCATACCAGTTCGCACCAGTTCGGTAGAACCGGTTCATCAAATCTACCGAACCGGTTAGAAGAGGTTCCATCAGTGGACCCGGAAAGCAGGCCACACCNCACCTACCCAGATAGTCATTAGGGCAGAGAACTGGTTGTTAAATTATTTGAATCCCACCACTGTGCAGATTGGACATTAGGTTGGAGTAACGGGGGGTGGGAGGGTCTTGGGTAAACATGTGATATGTACACCCTCACGCTTTTTTTGCTTCAGATCCTGCTTCACTTTAGCTGTTGTCATTCCACGTCCAGTAAAAGTCCCTTTATCTCTATTCAAACGGAGTTGGGGGGTTTCTTTCTTGGGTCCTGAATGAGGCAACGCCTGACGCCCAGCCCTGTTTTTCACTACCCACTCAGGAACTGGCTTGCAAGCTTGCCCTGGACCTGCTCACCAAAGAATTTGGCATCCCCATCGAAAGGCTCTACGTGACTTATTTCGGTGGCAACGAGGCAGCCGGCTTGGAGCCCGACTTAGATTGCAAACAAATTTGGCTAGATCTGGGGTGAGTTGGGGTTTACCCAGGAAATTCTTCCTTCACTGTCAGAAAGCAACCTAAAATCCCTCCCAACAGAAGCGAAGGGGGTTAAAGGCCAGGCAAGGAGGTGTAAGAGAGATCACATCTCTAAGTCTTTCCAAACTCTAGTCCCGTGATGGCGAACCTATGGCACGCGTGCCAGAGGTGGCACACAGAGCCCTCTCCCTTGGCACGCGCACTGTTCCTCCAGGTCAGATCTGCCTGGCGTTTCTTTTGTGAGCTTCTGTTTCCCTGCAAACGACAAAACAGAAGCTCACGGAAGAAAAAGATCTTGCCACGCTGCCAGTTTTAGGATGCCCCGCCTCCCACCGGCCAGCTGGTACTTCAGGTGTCTGCTGTGCATGCACGCATGTCCGTGCAAGCGTGCATTTGCACATGCGCACACCTTTCACTTTGTGCGCGCCGTTTGGGCACTCGGTTTCTAAAAGGTTCACCATCCCTCCTCTAGTCTGTGCCTTAAGTTTCCCCTTTCTTTACATCATGCCAAAACTCTTGTGCTCTAAGAAAAATAAATAAACCGGGAATAAATTTAACGGAATTCAGGTTTGTTGTTACTTTTGAATTAAGGATTGTGATTTAGAAGCAAGTTTACTTTGGTGCAGCGCTTCTTCTTTTTTTCGCATAGAAAATTTTTTTATTTTCCAATTTCATAGCATATAATCACATGTATACTATTTCATAGTCAATATCATGTTGTATTATTAAGTAATTACAT